CTCGATCCCAGGACCCTGGGATCATGACCTGAGCTGAAGGCAGACGCTTAACGACTGAGCCACCCAGGCGCCCCTACCCTATTTTTAAATCAGAAAAGAAATTATCTTGGAAAATTTGGTTTCAACTGATAAAAGAAGTGAGAGGACTAGTTTTAAAAGTAGCTATAGTTCAAAACAATCATCAAAACCTTTTAAAAAGAGGGTGCCTGGTTGGCTCAGTTGGTAGAGCATGCGACTTTGGTGTTTGATCCCGTGTGTGGTATAGAGTTTACTTAAAATTAAAAGTAATATTACATGTTAACTAACTGGAATTTAAATAATAAAACTTAAAAAAACTTTTAAAAAAGAGAAGGTATTTCTGTGTGAAAAACTAGGTTTTCATCTTTTCATATTTGTGCTGTATTTTGTGTTTGGCACATTTACGTTTAAAAGGTAAAACAGTAAACTCTGATTTTCTTGCGTGTTCCAGAATGGGTTGTCTCCATTGCACATGGCCACACAAGGGGATCACTTGAACTGTGTGCAGCTTCTCCTCCAGCATAACGTGCCTGTGGATGACGTCACCAATGACTACCTGACTGCCCTGCACGTGGCTGCCCACTGTGGCCATTACAAAGTCGCCAAGGTTCTCCTGGACAAGAAAGCGAACCCCAATGCCAAAGCCCTGGTGAGTGGCTCAGCTAACAGGTCCAGCCTATGTTGTCTTGCTGACAACGTGCGACCTCCACAGGAGAGGGATTACCTTGAGGAGGTAAAAGACAGAAGGTCTAGTTAAATAAAGTGTACGTCCTATCAACTGTTTCAAATATCCTTTAAAGAAACGGCCTATTTCTGACGTGAACAAGGCTGATGGATCTTACATAAGTAAGACCCAAAGACTGTGTAAGTACAAAAAAGACTGAGATGGTCACACTTATCTTACTGAAGGTAAACTTATAATTATGTGAATTAAATTTTTTTTCTGAGATCTAAAAACATGAGGCAAAGTGGTCAAAAAACTTTCTCTTACACATCAGCGGTCTGGGAATTTGTGAGCTGAAATTTTGTGTTATGTTTACCGTGTAAGCTAACGTACGGCCTGTCATCTCCTTTTCCTACTGATAAAAATGAAAATTTGGGCCTGATTTGTAGTCTTAACTCCTAAAATGATCTGTTATTTTAACCCCTAGCTGTATTACAGTTTGATTTTCTTGATGAGATAGTGTTTTTGTCTTTGGAAAAATAAATAATCCCAATTTGGTAAACTGTTTAAATTTAGTTCGGAATAAGCACCCATGTTTAGGGAAAAAAACAGTCACCAAATGTTAGGGAAAACATGTGAGTTGACGAGCAATTTTGAGGTACAGCCTGTCATCTGATCAACTGATTTAGGAAGGGTCACTGTTCCTTTCCAGCTGGTGCTGTCTCCCTGTCCGAAGGGCTCCCCAGAGCCTCAGGTGCTCTGGGGGCCCAAAACTCGAAGACTGAGGAGCACTCCGACCCCAGGCCATCATTGTCACTCTAAAAGCTTTTACCACAGCAGCATTTCAAGAGCTGTTGACCTGCCCAGTATATCAAACATATCTTTGAATTCTGAGAAGGGAGGAAAAGAAATTAGCAATCATGACTCATTTTTCCATACAAGAAAAAAAAAAAAAAAAAAGCCTTAGAACAGGGTGTGGGCATTCACTCTTATTTTCCTCTGACTCGGAAGATTTCACAACATGTGGAGGTTGTAGCCAGTCCTCCTGGGATGGACTATGGCCAGGTAAACGGTCTCAGAATGGCTATGGAAACACCTCTAGTGACTTTGACGTAAGCTTTTATAGTGGACCCTGATACTTGATGGTTCTCTATGGCGACTGAAAAATGCTCTGTGGTCTCAATTATCAGGCAGTACGATTTGGGAGGTAATTTGTTAAAAAGCAGACTCCTTTATTAGATTAAATATTAAACCAAATGATCCAAATAACATTGGGCTGTTTCCTGCTTCCTTGGAGTAAGCACCTATTTGAACCTTAAAACTGGAAGGGATGAAAACATTCTAGAACCAGTCTTGTAGTTGTCCTAAAATGCAGCAGAGAATACTGAATGGCATTGGCAAAGTTTTGACTGTGAGGACAAATGTTTGGGCCCAGCTGTTTTTAGTCTGTATTTGAAATGAGATGGAGGAGGGAGGGACATATTATTTGGAAGAGTGAATTCCAAAATAAAATAATCTAAAAAAAAAAAAAAATGCATGACCATTTTGCCTCAGCTACCAAGAGGCTGCGACAAAAATTCACTTCCTGTTCATGATCACCAGAGTACTGTGGATTTCTAGGAGCAGCTAGACTACCTACGCTTCCAGAAAAGCATCTGCATTCTGTTTAACCCCTCCTTGTTTCATTTACTTCCAAATCCTTGCAGAACATCATTTTCCAAACATTTTGCCACACTCAGAGGAATTGGATTTCCATGAAAAGCAGTCATGCTTCTGTGTCTCTTTGTCCCTTTCAGAATGGCTTTACTCCTCTTCATATTGCCTGCAAGAAGAATCGAATTAAAGTAATGGAACTCCTTCTGAAACACGGTGCATCCATCCAAGCCGTAACCGAGGTGAGGGGAGTAGGATTTCTGGGGTTCTCCAGATCACCAGGGTGTACCTTCACAGCTGGACTCTCAGAGCCATCCTCCATGAACAGCTCGTTTTGCTGTGTATGTGATTGCTACTGATTACTTTCTGAACCCTTCACCCGAGGGGCTGCACGTCCGGAGAACAGACACGTGTACGGGGGGGGGGGGATGAGTGCAAACACATCATCCAAAACACACGCTCCGGGCTCAAGGGTGAGTGGCACCATCACTGAAAGCATAATTTACATGAGATCCTGTCATGCAGCGCTTCTCAGTTGGGGGTGATTTTGCCCGCCAGGGGGCATCTAACAAAGTCTGAAGGTATTTTTAGCTGTGACAGCCAGATGGTGCTACTTGTGTCCAGTGGCTAGAGGCCAGATGCTACGGAATATTTTACAGTGTACAGGCCAGCCTTCTACACCAAAGAACTATCTGGCGCAAAATGTCACATGTGCCAAGGTTGAAAAACTGTATACCACCACCTCTCCGTGTTTGTAAACTGAATCTTTCTCTCTCTCAAAATTCAGAATTAATGAAACACAGAGTTGCTGAAGTTAATAAAGGACTAGCTCTAGGTTTCTTTTGTACAAGCCGACATGGAACTCAGAGGAATGTTCCACCAGGGCCAGTGCTGAGCCTGCAGCACAGCAACCCGAGCTTGGCCTCCACCCCTCCAGACTCTCCACCGCTGCCCCACCCCTGGCACCCCGGTCTCCATAGATGCCAACCGTGGCACCTCCCTAGACTGGACACCCTTTCATTCACCTCCCTATCTCTGCACCCTCCATGTGTCACCCCCGCTTTGCTCAGCTAATCCTACACACGCTCCAGGACGGGATCGGGGGCCACCCTCTCCAGGAAATCCTTCACCCCCTGGCCTGGTCTAGGAGCTCCTCCTCAGAGCGCCTCTTCCCGTGCCTATTTCCATCGAAGCACTTATGACCTAGGCTCACCTGCCCCAAGAAAGCCCAGGCTCCACTAGCGCAGGCCGAGTCCCTCTGGTCTGTAGATGCCAGCAGCACAGTGTAGGCCATCCAGTAAAGGTCGCTGAATGCACCAATAAAGACTGGTGCATCGGACGCAAATACAAAATTTGAGATCTAGCCCAGTGACCGTTGCTTTGCCTCAGTTTCTTATCTGCAGATGAAATATTTGCCTTGATTTGTAACAGAATTTTAGAATTATTAAGCGGTTGAAAATATTAATACTACTTTGTTCTTTCATCACTCTTATGGCTTTATTATGGCACCTGTGATTTTAAAAGCTTATTCTCAGTGCACAGCAACCATTTTTTAAAGGTCAGAATGGGCTCTGAAATGAAATTTTTTTGACTGATGTTTGAATAAATATGCAGAGACGTCAGCCGCTGAGCAGGGACTGCTTCCAGGCCTGTAGGTACTCCCTCGGAGCTTTCAAAGGCAGGGCAGACCGAGATGAGGGCTTGGCCCTGCGTATGTTCTAATGACTCCCCCTGCTGATGGAAAAAAGTGCCAAATTACAACACAGTTCTTTTCTCCAGTTTCCTCCGTTCCCACTATTTGAAGACGGGGCAACCAGAATTCTTTCTCTTCTGCCTTTTACCTCACTTTTATTAGGCAGAATTCCTTTCACGCATTTTTTTGACATTTTTTGACATTTCTCAAATTTCTGTTGTGATTGGTGTCTCCTTCTCACTCTCTTTAAAAAAAAAATTAGCTTTTTCTAGCCATATTAAATATTTTAAAATATTTTTACCAAATGATGATGTTCATGTTGCAAGTGGAATGAAATTCTAAAAAATTACAAATGGCATCATTTCACATAAAAAGCACAAATGTTATGGGTGTGTGTGTGTGTGTAGGATTGAGACAAACATAACATTTAAAGTCTGGTCTAGTGACCATTGTATTATTTGCCTTAATCATGTCATAAAACTATAAATATTAATTTATAATCATAAAATTAAAAAATTAAATGATTAAAGCTATTAATACCGATTTGCTCATTTATTAGAAAGTTGGCATTAAGTACCATGCTCTTTCGTGTATAATGTAATCAGTTGATTCTTAGTGCATGGGAATCATTTTTAAAGGCCAAAATGAGATCTGAAATAAAAGTCAACTTTTTACTAATATGTATGTAATCACATGCACACCGCTCTCTCCCCACCCCCAACACACACACACATAATTATATGCATAAAGAAGGTTTGGTAGCAAAGGCAAAAAAACTTCAAGTCATTTTTCTCTAATTTTTTCTCATGGATCTTTATAAAATACATGAAATCTTTCTTCCTTAGTGGATATGACATAGGTCTTTCATAATCACTGAACCTGCTTTAAGGAAATGATGATCAGGTACTGATACATTATCTTATAGAATCTGTGCCCATAATAGGCAATGTCCTTATGTCTTCTGATCTGATCACTCAAGTGGTTATGTTAAGGTGGGTGGGTGGGTGGGTGGGTGGGTGGATGGGGGGCAGGCAGGGAGGCAGGCAGACAAAACCTATTTATGATAAGATCACAACATTTCAAACTCTTTTCTTCTTAGTCGGGCCTTACCCCAATCCATGTTGCTGCCTTCATGGGGCATGTAAATATCGTATCACAACTAATGCATCATGGAGCCTCACCAAACACTACCAATGTGGTAAGTATCCTTTTAAGAAAGAAGGTCCAGGGGCACCTGGGTGGCTCAGTCATTAAGCGTCTGCCTTCGGCTCAGGTCATGATCCCAGGGTGCTGGGATCGAGCCCCGCATCAGGCTCCCTGCTCATCCGGAAGCCTGCTTCTCCCTCTCCCACTCCCCCTGCTTGTATTCCCTCTCTCGCTGTGTCTCTCTCTGTCAAATAAATAAAATCTTTAA